TTCTCAATAAAATTATATAACAATAAAAACAAGAAGTAGAGTACTCTTTCCTTTTTTTCATTTCAGTTTTTTGAAATAAGGACTCACTGCATAGGTTGCACAGGTCTTGAATTAGCCATGTTGCCCAAGCTGGCCTAGAACTCATGATGATCATCCTGCCTCAGCCTCCTGAGTGCTGGAATTACAAATATGAACCTCCACTCTCAGGGCATGCATTGATTTTTGCACGTAGGCAGGGGCCTCCGCCCCCCACACCCTGGACCCACCAAGACATGGGAATTTGTCTGAATCTCAGCTATGACTCACATCAGAGCAATGCAAATGAAACGAAGAGGCACAGTAAGAACACAGAGGATGCCCTTGTTCCTACCAGACTATAAAGTCCTGCATGGGTCTCTCTGTCCTCTGTCACGTTCCCCTGGCTCTGTCTTGCACAATTCTGTCCAGGAAGGGAAAAGGACAGTTATCTTGCTACATGTGTTTGAAGAAGTTACTGGCAATTGGTTCAATCCTTCTTGTACTTATCAAGGGGTGGACCAGCTCACATAGGGGCTGCAAACAGGTAACAGTTCCCTAGGTTGGTGTCCTTAGCCATCCTCTAACACTACAACACTGCCAGTGAAGGACTGCACAAAAGAATGCTAATCTACTGTTCACTTTCCCTTGTAGGGCAGCATGAAGCCTAGACAGATCCCACATCCCATCCCTTCTTCCCAGTTGGCCATCACCAAGGTCATTTGAGATGACATCACCCACAGGAAGCTCAGATATGTGCCATGTTCTTTATGTACTTCATGGGGACCTGGAAACTTCTACCACGCAGTTTTTCTCATAAACAGGATACAGTTTGGGTTAGTTTCCTTAAATGTAACAACTGAATCCCAGGGAACATATCTCTATGCTCTTGGGTGAATTACATCAGGCTGAGGTTGGGCATGTCCCTGGGCGTCAGACCAGGTCTCCCTCTAGGCAATCTCCTGTATGCTGGCTCACTCGTAGCCAGAGCTCTGGTATCTAGCCACAGGAAACCTATGTGTGGACATGACATGATCCAGCTAGGACTGCTGCTAAGCAGACCAAGGGTAAAGCTTGCGGTACACAGTCATGGCTTCTCCTAGCAGTAGCTTACCCCACAACTTTTGTAGGATATACTGAGGGCTCACTAAAGGGGTGAGGATATCCTAGAAATCAGTGGAAGTTGGAGAGGATGGTTTAGCAGAGGAGTTCAGGGCCACCATAGAAACCCATCAGCAGGGCCTAAGGGAGACAGGCAAGTGCCAAGCCCGGAACAGCAAGGAACATTTTGAGTGGCTGTGTCGGTCTGTGTAGTGTGGGACTTTGAGGTCCCTTCCTGGTACCTAGCCCAGGGGAAAAAAGTGTACACAGCATTGAGTCTACAGGGTCCTCTGACCTTGCAACTTGTGAGTCAGTCGAAGTATCACTAGAACGTCTACACTGTGGTCATCAGCAGAGCCCCAGCACTGAGCCTCCTCACAGTCAGTGTTTAGAGGTGACCTCTCCACGTATCCCTGCTGGACTCTGGCTGCAGGGAACAGCTCTTCCCTTAAACCCGCCTGCAGGATGCCTCAAGTAAGGCAGGATGCATCTGATACTGTGAGAAAAGCCAGAAGTGACTTACACTCCTATTTTTGCAGGCCTGGCCATGGTTGGAGTGGGGGGCTTGGCCTGTGACTGTTATGCCCCTCCCCTCATTTCCTCTTAGTTCTTCAGGGTTCCCAATGCACTGGAACAAATTCCCTCAGTGTGCTACCTGGCTGTAGGGCCACCACTCTTCTCCACTCCATTTCAACATGAATAAAGCACGATGGGCAACACAGAACTCCTGCTCAGCTCCTGCCACTTCAGAGGATGATGTTGTTGCTTTGTTTTTTGTTGTTGTTGTTGTTTTGTTTTTTTTAGGGAGGAACCATCCTAAGTTAGCTAAGGTCAGAGAAGGAAAGACCTGTTCATTGTTTACATCTGCATGCTACACTGCTAAATTTCTAATGGATTCCCTGGTTCCTGCCCTGCCTTTAACTGGCACATGATTCCAGCTGCTGAGGAAGCAGCACTCACCAGCCTGTCTCAGGGTAGACCAGCCACACTCTTTCCATTGTTGCCCCCATTTACTTCAGTCTGAGCCTTTTTCACATGAAGGCTGGCTTTGGAATTTCAACCTGCTTGTGATTTATTTCTTTTTTTTTTCTTTTCAAAGTTTTATTGATAAACATATAGCAATGAGACAGTTTCAAATCAAATTGAAAGTACAGTTTCAACAAATAATACACTGCATAATTTATTTCTGAGGTAATTGTGCTTTGCAAGTTCTTAAATCTGCTTAGGATTCTTACCATGAGTCATGGAAATAGATTCAACATGCAAAAGAAAGAAAATAAACATTAAGAACTTTTAACACAGATAAACTTCAGAGAGCAGAAGCCCACAAAGAACCAGAGCAGATATCTTATCCTGGTACAGTTGAGCTCCGGTATGGGGATCAATCTGGCATGAGAAGGTGCATTCAGGTAGAAGCAGAGACCAGCAGAGGGAAGAGCCAAGCAAGAGAGTCCAAAACAAGGTGTCATTAAATGCAGTGGGTGGAGGATGAAGGCCAGCAGTGGCAATGCCCAGCCCCTTGCTGGATCAATGGTTGACATCCAGGGATGCTTGGTATCTCCTACTGACATCAGGACTGCTAGCCGAAGTTCTCTTCTCTTTGTCAATTTTAGCAAGCCTTTGCTTACTGGCAACTCCTCTGGTGGCTCTAGCTCCAGCTCTAGTTGGCTGGGATGGACCAGAGTTCGGCCCCTATTCTACTGCAGCTGTGAGCATGGCTGTCTTGGCCTCACTCCAGCAAACCTGGTTTGATACATGGCACCACTGGAGTTCACATCTGCCACAAGTCCTCATCGTCTTCTCTCTCTCAACACCTCATCTCCATGGCTGGCCTAGGGCAGAAGACAGAAGGCAGCCAGACCAAGAAGGGTAATGAGATTTCAAGAGCTTCAAGAGAGGGAAAGACTGAGAACAAGATGAGGACAGAGAGATGGGATTGTGCCAGTGAGTCTGATGGCCCGGTGTCAGTGCAGAGAGAACGGGCCCTGCAGAGATCTCTGTCCTACCCTCACCACTTCTGCTCACTTGCAAAGTACAGAAAGAGAGCTTCTCTGCTATGGATGCTGCACACAGACCGTGCCAGGACCCAAAGTGTCCTTATACAAGGGTGACCCTCACTTTTTGTTCTTATTCTTCATTTCTTCTGCTTTTTTCTCCTTCATTTAGTGATTATTGCATTGAGCTATAGTCTCAGCTCTTTAAATTAAATGGTCTCCCCAAATTGTCCATCCTTACCTCCAACTTGCAATCCTCTTGCACGAGCCCCAAAAATGCTAGCTCACAGACACCCAGCAGTACAACATCACTCAGAATACCTTTAATGTCATAGCAAATAGTGGGGGTGTAGCCCACAGGGCAGGAAAAGGAGAGGGAGAGAGCAGGGATTAGGGGAATGGCAGGTTGTGAGGCCACAGCTTTGCTCTCTGTCTCTATCTTTTTTTCTTTCAGCCTGGATGTGCAGGGTACAGTGTAACGCTGATGGAGGTGACTGAGGTTGCACCCTCGCCACCACCTCAGGACCCCTTTCTAATTCCACCACCATTAGGGCCTACCACCACTAAGCACAGGCTGGGGTCCATATATCAGGTAGGTGGAGCCAATAAGGACCCGTTTAGTACCATAGAAAGCCAGAATATCCTCAGCCCAGCCTCATGGCTGCCTTCTAGAGCAGCTGGTATCCTCTTTACTTCACCTGCTCAGTGAGATGTTGCACAGGGCATGGGGTCCATTGCTGTACCCTGGGATGCCTTCAGGCCTTAAGTTAGTAAACACACTCCCTCAGGAACAAATCTGGAACCAGCAGTCTTGTGGACACTTCTGACACCCTAGGCATGAGCCTCTGGGCTCCACTACCAAAAGATGTAGTCAATGTCAGTGGGTTGTTCCAAATGACCTGTCCAGGACAAGGCCAGAACCTGCTACCCTATAATCCAAATGAGCTGGTGCACATAGCAGCAGAGAGCAGCCCACCTTGTTGTGGGGCAGCCCACTGCCCCACACGGCCTCCTGCTGGGGCTCTGAGGTGAGCTGAGTGTGCACCTTCAGGACTCAGGTCTGTCTAGAGGCCACATCAGTGTGCCCTGTACCTAGCTCTGGGTCTCAGCCTGCTGGGATCTCAAAAGAAGACAAGACCCAAAGAGTCCTGGGCTTTGTGGGCTGCTCCTTACGCTTGTTACAGGGTGTGCTAGGGGAAAGGGACTCCAGACATCTCAGCCTATTCCAGAGCCTGGTGTGAGGTTCCTGTGAGACCCCAGAACCTACGTACGGAGGACCCAAAGCAGAAACCTTGTCTTTCTTCTGACTAGAATTTCCACTGTTATCCCCCTACCTTTGTTTAACCTTTAAAAAACTACAATAAACTTACTTTCTTTTTTTGAACAAGTTCTTGTTACAGCAAACCACCTGCCTCCTGAAGAAATTACCTGCATATACTACCGCGTCTGGGGCTGTTTTGCTTTCCACCACATATGGAGGGTTCCTTGCGACACACACTCCTTCTCTGCTCTCACAGGATCAGAGAAAACTGCTGGTCCAGCCCCAGCTGATAACCACAGGCAAGGTCATTCAGATAAAGAGAAAGTACCTAGTGAGTTACAGAGGTCTCCTGTTGCTCCAGAGGGTGATGCTCTGGCAAGTCCTTTGTCCTGTTGCCTTCCCTGCTACCTTACACAATCATGACAAGAAGTATAAAAAAAAAATATCTGGACACATGTTTCTGATTGTTTTGATGGTGACTGCCTCACCCTGTCTTGATTTAGCAAAGGATGGATCAGCCCACAAGAGGGTGTGACACACTCTGGCCCATAAATAGTTCCTGTAGGTTGGCTATTGAAGTGATCATCTTCCTTCTCCAATACCTTCCAGAATAGAGCTGTCCTGAAACCATGGCCCTGGCTCTCCTGTGGCTGGGCTTCACCCTGTTGTGGGCCCTGCAGACTCATGCTAAGTATTCCCCTCTGTATCAGAACCTGAGTCAATCTCTGGGCCCATCTCTGAGCATAAACTCTCTGCAGCCAGACTTCAAGGCTGACAAGGTAAGGGCTCCAGAAGAGTAGATTTAGAGAGAACCAGGGGACAGGAACAGAGGTAGTGAAGGGATGGAGGAGCCAACGTACCCATGGGAAATGTGGAATGGGAAGTACAGAACTGGGGAAGACCAGAGTCACTGCATGCTAAGATGGGGTTGGGGGCTTCTTCAGTACCTTTTCACAGCAGAGAAAACTGAGGATACCAAACTGACCAGCCACTTGTTCAGGGTCATCACATGCCTGAAAACCATGTATAATGTCTCATCCAGGGTCTATCTGAGTCCTGAGAGTTTCAGAGCCCCCACCAGATGCACAGTGCATCCAAATGCCTGGATCATTCAACCCAGAGGATCAACCAAAGGAACCAGCAGGACAGCACTGGAGGGGTGACTCTAGGACCACACTTAGGCTCTAACTATCATCAAACCTTTGCAGTTCCAGGGGAAATGGTATGCCATAGGTGTGGCTGTAAACGATATCCATTATCGAAAAGAAAGCCGAATAAACATGTACAGCAACTTCTTTTACCTGAAAAAGAAAGACAGCTGCGTTCTCTCCACCTTAATCCTGATGTAAGCCACCACCTCTTGGGATTCTGGGAGCCTGAAAGATATCACTATGTTACTGGGTTCTAAGGTGCGGGTGGCTTCTTTTCAAGGTGATCTCTAGGTCTTTTTGAGGGAAACAAGCATAATCAGTGTCAAGGTTTCATACATATTAAAAGTAGGGAATGCAAACAGAGGGTAGAGGGATGGGCTCCGCAGAACTAGATGAGGCCTTCTTAAAAAAGGAGAAAACAACTAAAAAGCACCCCAGAGCTTAGGGCGGGCTACTGTGGAGAAACACAAGAGTGAGCCCCGAATGGTGACTCTCTTCTATTTCCCACATTGCCACCACCCATAGGTCATCCTATTAACAACTGATTCTCATTCACAGGTGAAGTCCACACAGAAGGCTCTGAGGCTACTTCTGGCATATATCCCAGATCTTGTCACACTTCCCTTCCTAGCTAGTTTTAGCCACACCCTGTCCTTCTGCATCAACAGAGAAGGTGTTACCAAAACTGATTTCTCACTA